TAATCCAATGAGTTGATGTGGTGGTGATGTAAGCCGAACCAGCGAGAACCTAAGCTTTAGCTTAGCAAATCGCTCAACGATTAGTCTTAGAGGTCCGCTAATAAGTTGGTGCATCATAGCGCTACTCGCGCTTCATCTCTCCCGTATCCATCAAATCGCTACAGCCAACATCTGTTACATTGCTGAGCGACAGCGGAGGAATCGCAGAGCAAAAGACACCTGCCTTCTTCCCAGAGCTCTCAGCGTCGTTCCCCACTAAGCATACGAACACACAAATGTATCAACTCACACGGAGTTTTCTTGACCAAAGCCTCGCCAAAGAAGCCCCCCAGAGCATAGTGGGCATTTATCGTACGGATAATCCATCACGGCTAGAAACGGCCACACTATCTTCAACTATCTGACCTTTCGCATCGTCGGGACCAGGAGCTCGTCAGAAAGCCCACGAAACATGGTGCCCACCTACCATACTGATATTCCATCACAAGGAGGTACGGCCATCCTAAGTGACTATTTTGAACTGTTGACCGTCTACAGGACAACGAGGCCAATTCACAGTTATATCTTATTATTATTATAATCGATGAAATACATTCACGATGTACTTCGACCACACTTGAGTGAATCAATTCCAAATCCACTCAAGCCCTACACCAACGACTCACTAGATAGTTTACCTTCTTCGCGGTTAACTCTGGAGGTAATGCCAGAGATTCTTAAACATCACATGATGAACCAAGCCCATGGCACTCATGAAGAACACAACAGAATCAACATTGCGAAATATCGAGCTCGAATAGCTCAAATTATCCGAAGTGGTGCGACCTAATCGCAATAGTATTGTTGAGTGTTGATTGATATGTTATAAGAAACATTTACTGGGCATCAACCTTGCTCATGTGGACGGCGAGGTCAACAAGACGGTTGGAGTAACCCCACTCGTTATCGTACCAGGAGACGAGCTTGACGAACTTGTCGTTAAGAGCGATACCGGCCTTAACATCGAAGATGGAAGAGTGCTTGTCGTTGCACATATCAGTGGAACAACGTATATTTGCATGTTATTATGATGCCTTTGGTGATCCAAAGCACTTGGATGACTCTCATAACGCTTTCCTAGATGACACGCCTATATTACAGGGTGATTCAAAAAAGAGTCCGCCCCTAGTAATTTCCCGACAAGTGACATTTCGTGAATAGGAAAGGTTCTGCTTGAAAGCCTTCATAGAGCTCTCTCAAACGCTGTATGAACGGTTCTGATATTGGTATTGTGCACTGAGGTCTCGTCAAACGCAAAATCTGCTACATAGGGAAAAGCCGTACTGGTTCTGACTCATCTAAGATGAGTATCAAGATGCCGGGGAACTCCTCCGAGGAGTGGGACTGGCAAGTCGTGGCCCTTCCTCAAACCTGTATGAAGTGCCATGTTATTGGCACTTGTGCGCAGCTGTCTCCCATTCGCGATTGTTTGACGTTGCTACATTCTCACGGCGTGTTTCATGTCTACTATCTGTGGCTTAATCGCCTCGGGGTTACGATTGCCTCAGTCTTCTGTTTTGGTTCAATCAGCAGTCTGCCCATGACCCATTCTCGCGGACTTGGGGAATTCAAGTGCGTTATCTACCTTTGTGGCAGCTCTGCTTCTTAGGATAGGGGAAATGCTCTCGCTGTAGCATCTAACATATGCTGGCGACCTGTTCCAAATTTGAATGTTATCTTCATAAGAGAGCCTATCTCTAATCAGGCGCGAGGTATGGTTCAATCGGAGCTGTTGGCGGACCGCATGCGGTTGTGGAATACTCAACACAACTTATCGAGATCGACGAAATGCACCCCTTTGAGTGAAATCCTTCCAATATGTGCTACTGCAGGCAATGATAACTTCGAGAATAATCACTTCATTGTTCCCCACAACAACATCACCGTAGTGATCGCTACTGCTGGATCAAATACTGTACTTGTTAATATATAGCAGCTAAATGCCAATATGCATCAATCATTATCAACTTATTCCAACCAACTGTGAGGGTCATCTCACTTCGCCACGCCCGCGATAGGGTACCGCTTTTCGTGCTCGAGCCCGAGCCTGGCCACGCAGCTCTCTAAGATATTATAATAGCGAACTCTCACCTCGTCAAATTGACGCTTGCTAACTTCCAACTTGAACTCTAGACGATCCCTACGCTTCCTCGCTTCGGCATTCCCCTCGACATAGGTCTGAAAACTCGCTGACCGAAATTGTGAAACGGCCTTCCTCGTGCGCTACTCTCAACTTCTCGTCGTTTGAGGTCACTTCTCTTTCCAGCGCCAGAAGGTCGCTTTCTCGCGGATCCTGATGATGAGAAAACCAGCGTTGAATCGTCCATTCGTTGCACTTGAAAATGAATGTGCTGGAATAAAAGACTGAATGGGCAAAGCTGAAGTGCAATCGATATCATAGTGTTCAAGACTAATCGTGTAAAGTGAGTTATGGCCTTATACACTGCCCGACAGTAATACTGTATTACTAATACAGTATTCTGATAATGTGAGACTATTCATAAGCGGAGCGATGAATTGCTGGAAATACGGCATCCCAGCGATGACCCACCGTGCTGACGTCGATCTGGCAGCTGCTACGACGGCTTCGGGCCCCTTCACTGGTACACACCTTACACTGCAACTCGTCCAGGCTCAGTGCCAATAAGGATATCTCCTGAAAGACTAAGACTAGAGAACTCATAACTCAGAACCGCTGAGGGGTTGCTCATGTTTCGAGTTTGGCTACTATAATGAGCCTCTATAGAGCGACGGCCACCACCCACCCGTTTCTCCGCTTGAAGGCCCTCCATACGAGCCGCCACCTTGCAGCGGCGACTCTCCAACCTCTTGTATTGATAAATATCCTCCTCCTTAGTAATAGCATCGACTCGTTGTCGACATGCCCTTATCTATCAACACCAAGCATCTGCGTACCACACTGACCTTCCTTACCTCTTCAGTGACTGCTTCTCGATTCGAGTCCACTTCGCTGAGTATCGATGGCACCTAACAATGAGCTCACCATATGCTCACTCTACCATAATTTATACCATATGCTCCACCAAAACTGATAGAATGATCCCCGACCAGAGAAGAAGACAATACCGACAGTTTAAACATTACGAGTTGAATTCTGATCGCCTCAGCTCTCATTCTCGATATACTGTTGAAAAACTTCACAGTGCGGGCGAAAAAGATGGACTGGGCAGAGGGAGATGGAAGAAGGTAGAGAATCGACTCAATAGTTTGAGACTGTCACTTCATGGTTATCCCAGATGGGTGGTATCAGAATATGGCCCGTTTTAACCCATGGTAAAACGGTCAGATGGACGGCGTTTTAACCCCTGCACTGCCCACACCTCCTCTAGCATGCCCTTAAGGATCTCCCCATCGTGAGTTGCTGCCTCCAGTGCCTCCTCCTCAGCAACTAGCCGCTCTCTCACCTTCGACAGGTTCTCTCGAATTCCCTCCAGCGTCGACGTTATCTGCCTGGTCATATTCGAGGACTGCAATTACAGGGTTACCTCCCGCCCGGTGATCTTCGCATCGGCGAGCTCCTGCTTCAGTCTGCGGTATTCCTTTCGACTCTCCCCTACTAACTCATCAACCTGCCGCTCCTTCGACCGGACCCGTTGCCGTAGGGTAGAGGTCTGCTAGGTAAGAGAGGAGGTCGCCAGTTCGATCCCGGCACCCCACCTTTTCTCTACGCTGTGTGAGAGCTCCCTCCCTGGTAATAAGCCATGAGTCTCGTTCTCTGAGCTCCCCTATTAGACGCATACTATCAGCTCAAAATCAGAGACCACCGACCCGCAGTCCTTCTAGCATCTTCCAATGCTAGGTCCCATCCGCTCTGCTTGCTACGCGCCTCCCGACGAACCACATCCAGCTCCCGACTCAAATTCATAACATGCTCTAGCCTAAGACTACATGCCCTATCTCCTCCCTCAGGGCACTGCTCACCCCTCAGCAGCTCTATCCCTCCGGCCCATCGCCATCCGAATCTTCCTTTCCATATCCCTACTAGAGGAGTCGAGTCGGGCCTGAGCATCCTACTGCATGGCGCCAATCTAAGAGCCACCCACCCGGCACTTCAAAAGCTGATCGCGGGCCCCACAGTTGCACGCTGCGTTGAAGAGTTTATCTTCATCAGCATCGAGCCTTTCCGAGGAGTTCGGACCTGCCAGTTGCCTCCCACTGGTGGGAAGCCCCCCCCCTTACCAGTAGGCCTATTGCAGCTTACTTCTGACTTCCACGCCACGAACCGCCCTGTGGCCTGGGTGCTCGCTACACTCTCTGTGGCATCCATGTGGTACCTATATGTTGCCTATATGTGAGATAGTATATACCCCTCACGTATTGCTGCTTTCTTTCTTGCTCAGTGTAGACGATGACGTTGATGGTGAGGGCCGCCTCATATCCATAGTGATCAGAGACCTGCATCGGCCACCTACCGATCTGAATACCTCCTACTACTCTACACAGGCTTCCTCCCATAAAGCTGCTCCTCCTCCCCTATTGTAGTCGAGGACCCGGTACTGCTACTCCTGAATCAGACATGGTAAACAGACTCTACTCGAGCCACCTCCCACCCCAGCAAAGAGGAGCCCGTGGCCCTCCGCACACCAGTGTAGCGTATCGGCGTGCTGTGGAGGATATTAGGTTGAGGCGCTGCTGATCCATGAGGGCCCCTCTGGCGGGGATTCTGAGTCCCCCTTTCTCTCTCCAGCGGCCCCCCGCGGGAAGGTTCCAGTGCTGTCCCCTAAAGCCATCATGTCCCTTCCCCCTGGATACAATAGGACCTCTCACATGCACTGAAAGATCTCTTATGGTATTGTAGTTGACGAACGGTGTGTGGGAAATGCGTCTATCTACAGTTGCTCGCTCAGCACCGCTATCGTTGCTGGTGACCAGCAAGCGTCGCGAATCCATCGACTGTAGGGTAGGACAATGGCTCACCACCGAATTGACTGGACACAACAGGTCTCAAGTAGAATGTAAGTAGAGTATGCACCTCATCAATGCATGGCTGGAAGCACGAGACGAGTGATGGAGTTGTTTTCCAACATATAAGGTCATACCACAACATGCTAGGCTCGGAGGCAAGCGGATGATATCCAAAAGAGAATATAGTATCCCGGGTGAGTTCCACTGCACAGTGATCCAAGCGGTTACCAAGTAGAATGGAGATTTATATGTCGACTACAGTGTGCAGATCGATAGAGGCCTCCAATGACTGCGTACTGACCCCCCCCCTCATACTACTGTTAATTCGCTTTCACCTACCTCCATCACAGTGTGCAGCGACCCAGGTTGGTTCGCTCTTGGAGGTCGACAGAAGAGCGGCCGATAGATGTACTATAGCGGGGGCCTTACTTCTGCTACCCCGAAGGCCCTATTTATATCACCGAGAACAGATGCACCGCTTAGTGACTGAGCTGCTGAGCGAAGGTGAATGTGAATTGTGTTCACGACTATCCTAAACAACGTTGGTAGAAGATGTCGGGAAAGTCGTCACAAATCAAATTGACTTGGGAAAAAATAGCAACGATGATCGAGATGATGCACGCGAACGCAAACCCCCCGAAAATGTTGCGCGGATGACCTTCGCTCCGCCTATTCGGTGGTCGTCGTCCACTCGAGGGTGGCACTGGAGAGGAGTCGGTGGACCTTACGTCGTGTAGAGTGACTATGGTAGAAGAAGGGATATTGGAAGGGGCTTAGAAGTTTATTGTAGACTGTTGGGGTGAGAAGAGTGAATCTTGAGGTTAAGCGTGAAAGATACGAAACAGGTCGGGCGGGCGTGGCAGTCGAACGCTGACGACTTGGCATTCGGCGTTTCTTGCTGGAGGAGGGTCATTTTATCCTTCAGCTCGCCGACAAGCAGCTGTCAGTAACCAACACTAGATCGTACGAGGGGCTTACTAATCTGAATAAGCGTTTTCGTTCGAAAGGAGCATTGAAGCCACTTTAGCTTTTAACGCTAGCAGAATTCTCGAATCCATCAAGTTTCGGCCACCGCGCCGCCTGCCTCGCTTGAATCACTCGTATTCAGCTCATCTGCTGTTTTCAGTTGCTTATTCCCATATCTAACTAAAAGCGCATCCCCTCATGTCCTTGCGTGCCGAGATTGATCCTATGCAATCCGCGGGGTCTCTGGAACAACTTCCACAATCGGCAGATTCAGCCAAAACAACGAGCCTTCGGTTACCATCCGACGACCACCCTTCTACCCCTCGTAAGAGTCATCCTGTTGGGGAGCCGTTGTCGCCCGCTTCCTACGCTGAGGCCGTGGCTCATGATACTATCCTTGGTGAACTGTCTGTTGGTTCGTGTACTACCTTAAACTGTGGCCGTGGTTGCTGGTTCGCCTACTCCAGCAGAGGGTGTCGAGAAGGAGCTGCCTGTGATAGATGCCACCATAGTGCTTGTGCTATACCGGCTGATGAGCAAAGGCGTCGTAACCGGAAGGAGAAATCTCGTCAAAGACCTTCTAAGAAGAAGCGTTCTAAGGCCTTAGCCCAGAAAGTGGCCGCGATGGAACATGAACAAGAACAAGGCGTGATTTCGGAGGAGAAACCTCAGCAACTGCAACAACAAGGGTCGCTGCTTCAAATCCCTCCAGTGTGTGATGAGAGACAGAAGGCTGATAATGGTCCTGATCGCGGAGTGGTGACTTCAACAATTAGAGTGTCACCAACGACTTGTACTGCTGTTGGTGACTACCGTACTAGCAAATACACCACTTCGCCCGAGGAATCTTGCAGGGTCTATCCCCGTCCTTCGACACTCTCTTCATCTTCCATTGGTGGTGTGTCAGCTGCTACAGCTAGCTCGGAGTCTACTACTGCGACAGGCAGAAGCAGCCGTAGCCTAGTGTACTCGAGTCCTGTCCGTTGTACCAGTGGTGATCTACCTTTTACGGGGTATTCTTCTATGAATGTTACTGCTTCTTCTGAGTCTACCAGAGATATTTACAAACTGAAACAACAGAGAGCGCCGACCCCCAAGCTCAATGGCACTCCTTTTGGTTTGTCCTATGTCGAGGCCGCTTCTAACGCTATAGACGGCTATTGTGATGTGGTCACCAATGACTACCGCAGTAGCATGGGGAAGTCAAGCAGCGACCAATTGCCCTGCATGTTCGAGGGGTGGGCCGGTCTTATTGACGCTTTGGAGAAGACATTCGGCCTCTCGGGCCCTGCCTTGGGCTACGGAGTCTCCCCAATGTCGCCCAATTAGAGCGCTTCGTTTTTGAGGATATTTCCTGACTGCACCTATTGTTGTGGGAAATGTCCTGGTATATGAGCCGGTGGCTGCTGTCTACCTTTTCAAGATGGATGTTCTGATGAGTGTAGCTGATACCATCTCAACTGCTGATTCCATAGAGGCGGAAGTTATCCACTGGTTTTTCCGCCCGACGATGGAGGTCTAATACGGTCTTAATCGTTACAGTGTAGTTATGGTTGAAGTACGTTGAGGTCGGCGAAGTTGGCTCGTCATTACTACTGCTATCACCGCTGTCGGTCCTATGTCAACTGTTTTAGCGTTGTTGTTGTCGTCGTCTTCGTCGTAGTCAACAACAACAAGCATCTCATCTGGTGATGATAATAGTATCAGTAGCCGTAAAGGTTGCACCGATGTGTTTCAAGGGTGTAGTACTATCCTTCTTGTCTTAAGTATCGTCTTACTTGAGGAGGTGTCGTTACCATATCCTTCACAGTAGTCGTCGTCCTCGTAACCATTTGTCTTGTCTGTTCTTTAAGTTAATCTATTTCCAACTACTCACTCTTGTTGCTAGCTGCTATTACTACTGTAGTTACTGCTCGCTTTTCTCAATCATACGATCAATGGTCTCGCGCCACTGAGCACTTGGACCTCACACTGTTATTCCTGTAACGAAGACTTCCCTATTTTCACTAGTGGCTTCACAATTGTTCTTTGCCAATGAAGCCAGGATGATATCTCGATCTAGGAGTAGTATATCACGTAAACGTGGGCCTTTTCGAGATCACCCCCTCAGTGGGAAGACATCGGCTATTGGCATTGAACTTTGCAAGTGTCGCCACCTCTGTTGCTTGTACTGTATCCCGCTGTGGTCTTCTCTATATCGTTGCATCGTCGATGTTGATGGGACTAGAAGGATCGCTCCGTGAGGATGCTCCCGAACAACTCTGTTATGGTGTTTTATGTAGTCTCCTCCGTATTATCGTCTCACACAATTTTGCCCACATAATAAGTGTGGCTTCCAAGCTCATCATCAAATTACCATCTGCACTAGCTCAAGGGCACTCTGTGCTCCGTGGTCGTCATCTATTGTGTAACTATTCAATCCGTCTTTGCTCTCGTCGTTTACTACGAGCTCTCTATTATCGTATGGTTGAGATGAGCCACTCCTGCCCATTGCATCAGTACACTCCTAGTGTATTTATTGCTCAATACTGCTACTATTACTGCTCTGTGGTGACACGACTATCATTGTTATTCTCCTGTCACCATCATCACTCAGTTCCATCGGCCATATTCTGATATAGGGCGTGTATCTAAGTACCCGAGCCCGCGAAATCGCTCTTTGGCGAGGTTACGTATTTACCGTCCGCTCTTTTCTGTGGCTTCTACTACCTCAGTGATCGTCGCTTATCCTTCTCGTCTCGCTGTCCTTACGTCCTACTACCTAGTGTCTATTATACCAAATAGTTAGTCAGCTGCCCATTACCACTACTCCTATTACTAGCATCACCTTATAATAAAAATTATCGGAGGTTCTTACACATGTTGCTCTGACAATTCCATACCTATTCCTACTGCTGATGGCTTAACCCGTTTCACTTCCTGATGGAGGTGTTGCTCGTAGTCGTCTTCGCAGTAGTGCTTGCATGTCTGAGTGATATTGTCCCTATATGATACCTCCGTGTCTTCTTATCTCTTTGCGGTTTCGCATGATGCATAAGGATCGACACTGATGACCAGTTTTCAACTACCGCTCTCAAGGGGATTCCGCTACTGGTTTTTCCTTGAGTGACGGCGTCTCTGTCTTCAGCAGCATCACCACTAAGTGTATTATATCAATCTATGAAAGCTACTCGTTGTCAATTAATGGGCTCGGGTGAAGGCGAAGTGAACCGGAATAGTTCTCGTTCTTGTGGTAATCTCTTATGCAAAGGCTCAGGCGATATGTTAGTCTGCGTTCGTACTGTACGAATTACGATAACACTGAGACGTGTTATTGAGGGAAGCTTATCGGCTTACTATGAAGCACTTGACTCTCCGGCTCCAAGTTTGATAATATAGGCGTTTTCGAGTATGTGCAGACGTCAACACGTTGTTGGGAAATATCAACCGCAGCGTGGTATATGTTGATAATCGTTGGAATATTCCATGGCTCGACAGATGTGCGAATAGTCGAATTGTAGTATTATCGTCACTATTGGCCCTACATGAACCCAGTCATTCACCGAACACAAAACAACATTGTTTTATTTCTGCTTTTGCCGCTTCGCGTCATCATCGTCTTCTCTGTCACAACTGTCACTACTCTTGCTCCACCAACTCGGCATTTTACACATCTCGCAAACCTACACACAGAATAACACCAGTAATCTGACTACACCTGCAAGACGTACTTTCTGTGTTCGGGCGTTCTTATGAATGTAATCGCTGAGCTCCTCGAAAGTGACCGAGTCCGCAATAGATTTCTTAACGCGACCAACGACCCTCTCGTCATTGGGAGATGTCCTGTCCGTTCGTATCTGTTAAACATAGGTAAGGAGTTGTTAGCCGATGACCCTACCCGTTGGAACTGCCATCCGCCTGGTACCCAGTCGCCAGTTTCAACGTAGTGCATAGCGTCAGATGGAACCTGAACAGATACTGTTGTAATTCGTGGAGTGGAGCTCTTGAAGCTCACAAATGTGTAAGTGTTAGGATCCCAATTGCACTCGATTATCGCTCCGTTCACTTGCCGTGTGTTTTCGGTCAGCCATTGCCAGTGAGGACCACTGCGGGACAACCAGATCCCTTGGAAAACTTGAACCTGTTCACCACCGTGCATGGAGATTTCATCGGAAGCTCGGCATACCCCTTCACTCGCTGCTAAGAGCTTTACATGAAACTCTTGCATTGAATCGCCCATCACAAGTTCGACAGCGAAATCTGCGGTGTTCATATGAGCTGGTTTCCACTTTAAAAGTTGCCGACACGTCCCTGAATACGATCGATAACTGGATAGCGTCTGAAGAGCTGCTTACCAGCGATATAGGGCGGCATCACTGGAGTGAATATCAACCCATCGCACTCATGAGGCAATCGCTTGCCGAAGTTCATCACAGTATCGCAGTCGGTTACCTGCTCATGTGTAGGATACGAGCAACTAACCGACGGAAGCTATTCTCGGACCTCGAAGAAATCTTTCAAGTACACTTGGAATGCATCATTGGCTCTCTTCTCCGGTGAGAGCTGTCGTCTAGGCATGAGTACTCCTTCTAGGAACTGAATGCAATTAGACCAGCAGTCCGTGAGTGTTGCTTTCCTACTGCTTGTAGTCGGCGCATTAAATTGAAGTCCCGAACGCATTGCCCATCGACGGCTACAGCATCGTAGACTAAAAACCTACTTTAGGAGTCTACATGGCAAAAGAATGGCGCCACTCACCTCACGGTCTTCTCCTCGGTATCGTGACCATCCTCAACTACTTCACCATCGAGAAGCGTCGTGTTGATCATACCAGTGTGGTCCTTATTAGGCAAGTGCCTGCATGAGAAGACTCCTCTCTAGACGTGGTTTGCACATTACAGTTGGATTCGGTAGAAGTTGAAGCGCCGATCGACCAAATACACCCCTTGGGACTGGTTGTCGGTTATTAGCATATGACGCTCACCGTCAGACTTCTCACCAATTACATACGGCCGTTGCGCTGAGGGCACATGATCACGACTTAGTAATAATGAAATTCCGGGACCAAGGCAGGTGGGTCCATGATTGCCTTCCACACGGAGCCGTGCGTTGCGCTGCCCCCATGACAACACACATGTTTGTATGTTTGGTCGCTGAGTTCGGGGTCATGAATAATTCTACTCTACGACCGATTTTCGCTATTTTTAAGACTCATACTACCCGAACTCGCCGAGAAATCAATTTTAACGCTTTTTTTAGTGGGAACAGCAGATGGACAGCCACCGAGGATCCTGATGATATGCATTGCGAGGTGCCCTATTACGTACTAACATCTCGTAGATTCCGACGGCCGAAGCTGATTGGCTGAGAGCCCGGGAAGGTCTCCCTCCCCCACTTGCACAGATCCCACATGCTATGCTTCAGTCGCTCAACCTAAGCATGGACGATAGACTTGTAGAGCAGGCCTATGAAATGAAGCCTGCCGAGTACCCTACACCCCACGGCTTTACAAAGATGGAGGATTGGGTTGTATTCGAGCCTGCTGATGCCCACCCCCCAAAGAGTACCAATTTCCCTTCCGACTTCTCATTGAGCTGTCGAGCCCCTATGTCCTTCTTCGAGACGCAAGAGGAGGCGAACATGGTGACAGAGGACGGCAACTAGTGGAGATGAATGCCCCCATTGCCTCCCACTTGGGCTACTAGCTAACTCAACAGTAGATGCACTGAGACAAGACTAGGTGGCGGAGCTTCAGAAAGTACGCAACGTGAGAATGTGCCTGGCCGGAGGCTAAGTCGGAGCCTGCTTCTTAGAAGCGAGTTGAAGATCAAAGACTAATCATCAATGACTCAGCCACTGCTGTAGCAATCCAATGACGAATCAAATGGGATACCGCAAGTCTTCTTCATCGCACCGCGATAAACTCCAGTACCCCTACAGCGTGCGCCTGAAACGACAAGGTGCAGCAGCCCATGAAACGGCCTACAGACTACTCGAGGCTAAAATAAAGTCCAAAGGCGGTTCTAACTATTCTAGTTCTGTAAACTACGGGCTGGTTCGCATCCTGTCCGATGACTGGTAACTTTCAGATTCATCCCATTATGATATCTCCATCCGTGCTCGCTCTTATCATCTTACCGGCCGTCGCCACCGACTACTGCGTCGACTTCTGCCTTACCACTGAAAGCTGTGAAGATTCATATTGTAAAGAAAACGGCTTGTGCTTCGGTCTCTATCACAAGAATGCTGGTACTTGCTTCCAACCCGGCGGCTTAGACAGTGACTGCGATGATTCCACACTGGTACCCGTAGCGTGTGATGAGATGCCTTTCAGTAACACGACCAGAGAGTGCAGTGAAGCGTGCAACACTATAGCAAGCTGCCGTGAATCGCTCTCTGGATCGTATTGCAAGTCATGGATCGATCCTCCGGTTTGCTTCGGTATTCTTGTCAAGGCTGATGGGGATCTATGCTATGAAGGAGTAGATGAGAACTGTGATGGTACTCCTTATCCCTGCAAAGAAGTTGAGGTCACTGAGACTCCCATTGCACCCTCTACCGAGGCTCCCACGGGACCCTCTACCGGGGCTCCTGCCGTAGATTCCACTGAGGCTCCAACCGAAGCTCCAACCGAGGCTTCTACTGAGGCTCGTACCGAAACTCCTACCCCGGCGTCCACTGAAGCCCCTACTGAGACTTCCACTGAGGCCTCTACTGAGGCTTCCACTGAAGTCCCTATCGAGGACCCCACTGAGACTCCCACTGGGGCTCCCACTGAGGTTCCCACTGAAGCCCCTACCGAGGCGCCCACTGAAGTCCCTATCGAGGACCCCACTGAGACTCCCACTGGGGCTCCCACTGAAGCCCCTACCGAGGCCCCCTACGAAGCCCCTACCGTGGCACCTACTGAGGTTCCCACTGAAGCCCCTACCGAGGCCCCCACTGAAGCTCCTACCGAGGCTCCCACTGAGGTTCCCACTGAAGTCCCTACCGAGGTTCCCACTGAAGCTCCTACCGAGGCTCCCACTGACGCCCCCACTGAGGCTCCCACTGAAGCCCCTACTGAGGCTCCTACTGAAGTCCCTACTGAGGCTCCCACTGAAGCCCCTACTGAGGGTCCCACAGAGGCTCCCACCGAGTCCCCTACCGATCATACTACCGCACATCACTGACGATGAGTTACACCGAATGACCTCCACAGACTCTTCGTGCTTAAAGCTTTGGCGGCAAGTAGAAAAGTCCCACTGTCCTAGTATATCATAAACAGGCCAATTTTGCCCTCATACGCGTGCAAAGGCATGCCCGCGTATTATTGAGCCTTGCGTATACATTCTCTCAAAGCTCATTGCAGTGATGAAGATTGGCGTGGAATGGTTTAAACTGAGTTGTGTTAGTGACTCAATCTTCCTCAAGTTTGAGCTGATATCCTTTCACCATGACCATGCGGAATGTATGTATGCACCTCTTAAGGAGCATGAGCTCGTATTTCATTTGCGGTTGAGCTCGTATCATGAAATCCGTTCTCAACATCGCAACTGTGTTGATAGTAATCGTTGGGTACCATCGAAGTTACTATAATGGTAACACCGTTGGTTCCTACTGTAGGAATCCTACATGAGAGAAGATTACTGCTTCCGACTTAACCTCTACGAGATCAACTACAGATAGAATTATATGGCAAAGTTTGGCCATTGTCTCTCGTGCTCTCTTCCTCGGAAATGATACCATCAGTTCAAAGTTCTCGTTGTGTGAAGGAGCGTCTGGTTGCACCTGGCATTCAAGCGAATTGCGATAAGTTGTAACGATGCAATTGAGAAACTTCCGTGTTCCCCGTATGTTCACAATGTCAAGTGGTACGCATTTGCGGTGCATGAATCCTCGTTGAGAAGCCGTACGAGAAACTTCTCTACAAGACGCTCCAATACTACTACCTAGAGACCCTCTGGATACCTATTGGATCACCCTAACACCTCGTTGAGTTGTGTTGGGAATATCGCCGCTTCTCGAAAGTCTCTCCAAGGGAATAAACCGATATCGAGTTGCTTACACACACGCTTGATAATATCCACCTTGTGAGTCTTCCACCATAGTGCACGCATAACCACGAACTTGGCTGGTGAATTATGCGCGCGCCAGGACAATCGATTAGAATTGGCCGTTGAAAAAGATGTATTCGACCGTCACCGCTCCGCCAACTATAAACGAAGCGGTGTTGGTGGAAGCACTTAACGCAGTTTCGTCTGGGAACCAAGCAACTGTCATCAGTAAGTCCAGGGATGGCTCTCGGTACCTCAGAACGGCTTTGCGTTATGTTGCACGTGAGCGCGACCGCTATGGCCAGCTTTGGACGGCACCGACTTGCTCATATCCTGTGGGTCTTTCCCTAGTGCCCTGTTTCGCTCCGCCGTGGAATGAGCAGGATTAAGATCATTCTAATTGATCAGTAAGTTTGTTCACAGGCTCGTCTGGCCATGTGCAAGAGCATCCAAGTGACGACGCAGGGGTCGTTGGGATTGTCGCAGCCGAGGTAGGCCCTTCGACATGCTCTCTGAATCACAACTGCTTCTCCAGTTACTGCGCGATGGTGTGGTGCCGCCCCTACCCGTGCCGGGCGATGGGGCTCATGGGTTCACCACGGGGCCTCCTACTACCCCAAGAGGGATGCCAGTGGGGCCGCCGTCAACACCTGAGTCCGATATAGGAACTGATGGGTATGTTTGTGCCGTAAGAGGGTGTCACAAGAAGCCATGGCCCGAGAGTGGGAGATGCACCGCTCATGGTGGCGAGCCTACTCCCCCGAGGTGAGTTCCATCCCGTCCTTCGGTGTCGATTAAGTCCTATAGGTATAATCAAGCTGTCGAGATTTCGGCGCGTCACAGGAAGAAGAGATCGTCAGCATCAGTAAGACCAGCCGACCAGATGGTTATTGCACATGACCATCATCATCATCACTCAGTTGTGTCTAGTGGAAGGGTGCACGAACGTAGCACAGGCTCGTGGAATCTGCCTCAAGCACGGCGCCAACCAACTGAAGAAAAAGAAGAAGGCTCTCCCTTGCAAGGTAGGGCACTGCCACTCTCATCACCATATCCTCGGTCGTTCAGGTCGAAGGGTGCACGTCGGTCCGGCATGGGGGCAATTTCTGTCTACGACACGGTGGAGGGGCCAAGTGTAGATACCCAGGATGCGGTCAGCCTTGTCGCCATCCAACCCCCCTATGCCACGCCCATGGCGCTATGCCCAGCTCCTACACGGTGAGCTGTTATACCACTCCTTGTTGACATATCGAAGTGATATCCCTCTAGGCTTGTGACGTCCCAGGGTGTGGAAGGCGGTGTCTGGTCGTCGCTGGTGGCCGCTGTCACGACCATGGGGGCTACACAGCTGTGGGCATGTGCCAGGACCTCAACTGCTTCAAACTGGCCAAGAAACCAAGTGAGTATAGTACCAATCCTGAACTCCTTTTTTTAACATCAATGCTTAACAAACCCGATCTCACTTACGTTGTTATGAGGCGGGAAGCAATAGTATGAACGCTTCTTGCCGCGTCGATTCAATTCTCGGGTTTCGCCCTACACTGAGGAGTAATCAGTCGTCGAATAGTGTTCTCAGCAGTCCTTACTCACCGGCACTTGTCTGTTTTCAGGCATTTATTGTGGAACGCATGGCTCAGTTCCACAGTGTCATGGGGCGCCCTCGTGTCGACGACGCCCTGTTGGCAATACGGGCCTCTGTCGTATGCATGGTGGCCAGCCTGATCCCGCGACGTGCTCTACCCCTGGGTGCAGCAATTTAGCCCTGCCCAGCGGCCCAGGGGGGCAGAGGGTATGCCCAATACACTGGGATGGAGTGACGACACTCGTTCAAAGATGCTCCCATATCATGTGCCAAAGACCGGCGCGAGAGTACGGCCTTTGTGTGGCTCATGGAGGGGCGCGGCCTCAATGTTCGGTGCCTGGGTGCATCCAGCCCGTGGCTAACCGGCGTGTTGTTGGAGACAATACCGTGCCTGATAAGTGCCGTATGCACCTTGGTCCCGAGTACAGTAGACGGTGCATAGTGAAGGGGTGTATGAAGGCTAGAATGCTCAACGATGACTCTGCTGGAATGTGTGCTAAGCATCACATGGAGAGTCTGCAGGGAGAGGTAGCCCTGCGAAGCTGCTGATGAAGGAGTGTACAACATTTCTCAGGTTTTAAGCCTGTCTGGACCAGCAAGGCCACGTCGACGCGCCGACGGCAGCGTGGGTCGAATCATGTGCTCAGTCGAGGGTTGCAATAAGCAAGTACCGTCAACCTCAGGCTCTGGAAAGTAGGAAATCCTCGCAGTGGATGTTTTGGTCATTTTGGTATCGGCAGGTGCCGTCGCCATGATATGTGCCGAGAGAGGGGATGCATGAGGGCTGCTTTCCATGAGGGGTATTGTGTTCGGCATCAAGACTTGGTCATCGCCGATGCTCTGGCGGGGACCCATCAACCAGTTATGGAGGTCAACACAACGAGGATGCCCCATGGCGGGATGGACGAGGGAAACGTTGATACTTCGGGGACTCCCACCGCTTCGGAGGCACCACCAGAAGGCACGGTGAGTCGATCAACATCGATGACTAAGGGTGAGATATGATGCTTGGTCAGGTTGAGTCTAGGGTACACCAACAGCAACAAGGGCAGCAGCAGCAGCAGCAGCAAGCAATGGGCATCAACGAGGGTTCGCTGGTTATCCCACATGTTGACAACACCAATGTGTCGTCATCGTCATCATCAGCACGATTCTTCCCCTCGCCGCCCGGTCCAAGCCACGTTCAATACACTGACGAGGAACGTGCTGCTGAGGCAGTGGCTGCAGTAGTGGTGATGGAAATGGAGGCGGAGCGACAACAGAGGGGCGGAGGAGAGAGTCAGAAGTCTATTGATGCGCTCAAGGATTAAGTCGTGGCATTATTTCAACTATTGTATTTGTATCATCAAAATCGTTGGGTCTGAAAAGAAGCGAGAGTTGTGTTCAGATCGTTGGCGGGTGCGCTCGTGTGACATAGGTCGTCGGTTCGATTCGTGGGAGGGGCATTTTGAAAGGTTCGATCTTGTCTCGCCATCAATGACAACAAGCGCACCCAGTCAGAGCATCCGAGGAGACGCGCCCACGTTCGCCTTGGACGGTTGTGACTTCATAAGGAACATGATTTGTGAATCGGACTTTCTGGGAATAATCGGATACGCTGTAATAATCAGCTCCTGTGCTACGACGTTTACCCATTTGCGCCTCAGACCTATTTCGGCCTATTAGAGTCTTCCGACATGCAGGAGGAGGACATCATTCGGGCTGTTCGTAATCATTGGATGGAATATGATGCTAATCCAAGCCGTAAGAAAGTATTCGATTGCTGAGTTGGATTTGTCAGTAACAGAGTTGCTTCGAATCACGGAGAAACTCGTATTAGATGTATATGCCTTAACATCATTTTGAGAGATATTTATGCTTTTGTAATAGTACTCTCCTGGTCGCCTTGTTCACTGGTTGGTTCGTCTGAATTCAGTGGTGATTTATCACTCAAAAAGGCTTACCCACGGAGTTACTCGAAGTCTCTCGCTTCCTACAGTTTTATGCACTACGGTCGGAGTGGCTGCCCTCAGGTGCAATACTGGATGAACTATTCTCATTAGAAGTTGATGAGACCGTCGCGCAAAGTATCGATTCTAAGGATAAGGTAATCGGGTTTTCAGCTTTTCTGGAATGGCTTTCGATCGTCGCTTTGACAATGTGAGGATATATTTCCGTTTATTTCAATTGAACTCGGGAATTTTACTTTTTAGTTATGAAAATTTACGCACTACTTAGGGTAGAAGTGTACAGGAAAAAGACAAATTTCCCTCAGAATTCTCGTATTATCACCAACACACGTTGTGACCATGTGCATACTTTCCCATACTGATATGGTCTATTCGAACAATGTGATTTTCCCTTATTACGCAAGTGCAGATCTTCTCCTCCGTCCGGGATGCGAATACAGAGAGGCCGGTGACTCGCAGTCAAGTAAAGAAGGAGTCCACCCCGACGGTAGGCAGTAATGACAGACATCCTCCGGTGACACCATTGGTGACACTCAGTATCGTCGATCGAGTCGAGTAGCTCATTCATCGAGTGGAGCAGCCTCCAGCGGCACGAAAGCTAGTGGCCGAGGGAAGTCTTCGCGAGGAAGTTCCAACGCGTCGCCACGGCCAGCTAAGAGGGGAAGGACAGTAAGCAGTTCGCCTGGGGTGTTGATTCTGTGAAAATCATCCGTCTCATTTTTCCTTTCACAATTGTTCGTTGTCTATAGGAGAATATAATTTTCTTATCGTTTTTTTCTCTCAGAATCGGCGGTAACATTATCTCGAACCTTGGCGACATTCCATCACCATTGTAGCATTCACTGTCGCACATTCTCCTCCATGTCGAGTTTCTGTCAATATAACATTGGTCATATAACTCTGTACATCCCCATCATCGCTGTTGGATGATGCTGACCCGCTCTGCGTGTTAGCGTTTCGAGTCAACATGCCTAAGAAAGGAGGTAAAGGGAAAAAGGGAAAAAAGAAGAAGGTCGCTGGGCCAATAGGAGTAATAGACACTGAACGAAAAAGGACAAAAGAATTATTTCCCGCTCGGTAGATGCCGCTATTACCGCCTGCTCTGTTTGAATACCTCCAAAAAGAATACGAGTCATTAGAAAAGGTGGGATTGGCAAGTCAACAACAATGGGCATAGGCATCGATAGGAACTCCTTGTGTTATCTATGGAAGCTGATGAAATAGCAAAACGAACGAGGGAGGATCGAATGGCAATGAGAGAAATGGAAAAGGAACTTATTCAGTGAGGCTTATCATTGGATATGTGGAATTATGCTCGATGAGACTTGAGATGAGTGTACATTAGATTTTCAGAGCACAACACGCCACGTTCGCTATTACATCGGATGCCGCCAGAGGGTATAAGCAAATTCAGGAGATGCGCATAAACAAGATAAATAAAATGGAGACGCTTCTGACCGGACAAGTAATGATGGTAGAGCTGTCCGTTGTCAAGCGCATTTTGACGGTATAGCGAGAAGAAATGGACATCCGCACGCACGAGTGGCAGGAGATAGCGCGGGAGAAAGATGATGAGATCAAGTTGAAGGACACCGCAATCGAGGAGTTGAAACAAAGGTGACCCCACATTCCAATGCTCAGTCTGGCGAATTTACACAGGATGGACAACGTGGCCAACGAGTTTGCTGATATGCTGACCGAGACGCTAACGATATTGAAGCGGAAGTTAGATGCCACCATCGAGGAACTCAGAGAAGATGAGTTGAATTACAACGAGTCAAAACGTCGGGGTAAGCACCTTGCTTCCTATGGAGATTCCCTTGTGGCAGATTATTCGGTTCTAGTTTTTCTAGAAGTGATGTCGTGACATCATTCTCTCAGATAATAAACATTTCATCGAGAAACTGAAGGAGTTCAACATTGAACTATTTGAATGATTTAATACTTGTTATTATTGAGCTGTAATCCTTTCTATCGTGATACAGTATTGAGTTAACGAGCCCCACGTTTTCTCAAGATTGATTCATCCGTCCTGCGAACCCTCCAAACTTGCTACAATTGTTCAGACTGCATCTCACAAATTCGTACAAGTTACCGCACGTCTAGCTCCATACAACACGTTAACACAAGTCCGTCAACAATCTAACAGATTCGACGCTACCAATAAGTTCCAATACTGAGTAACATATATAAACTCAACGGATATTGAGGTTGGACCCATTGCATCTGAGTAACTACATTCCAGCCTAGTATCAGGATAGCTAACGTAGATGTGTCACCTCCAGCTCACCGAAAGTAATACGAATTCAGAGCATAAGAAATACCATACAAGCACACACCACCGTGACTATGCTCAACACAACTCCTCGCACGCAGATGAAATGAGAATCCAGCCTCGACACATCACTCTTTTTGACCTGTTGGCGAGGATAGAAGTCTTATCACATGAAGACTCTAGATGGACTCCTTTAAAACTCCAGTATTCGATCTGTTTGTTAGTTTGTGTGTTTGGAGGAACGATATTTCACCACTCGCATTTGGCGGTATTATCGTATGTCCCCCCACCCCTAGGGCGAGTCTGGCGAGTCAATACTCATACATCGTCATCATCATGATCTGCATTCATGATTCGTATCATAGCCACTTCAGCACCATATTCACAACCAAAGATTAGCCATTACATTGTCCCAGTCCGCCGAGTGCGTGGGAACCGTATCGTTCTAACAACGAGAGATTGCCCTTGCCTGCCCCAATCTGGAGATACCAACCTTGAGGAGTCTCTAAGACTGCGTAGGTCCTTCCCGGTACCAGTGAGCACCATCCTCGCGAGCAGGTAGTTGAGGGAAATATGGCGGTGTAGATCCATGTCAGGGGGATCAACGATTCCAAAAATCCTCCTACGGATCGACTCAACGTCCGTAGCCGGGCAGCCTAGGAAGTGCACCTATGTCTCCTCGGCCAGGCGACAGTAACGACACGCAGTACTGGTCATTATACGGTCCCAGCGTCCAACATAAGACCGAGTTGGTGCAAGACCGGTCATGAGCTGCATTGAACAGTAGTCTGCCTAACACAACTTCGAGCCGTCCTATTGCGTCCTCAGCCCATTTCCTATGCACAAGGACTCCCCAGGCTTCACATCCGCGCATGAACCCTGGGAGTAGGCGTAGGACCCAGAACTCAGTGGCTACCGCTATCGAAACGGACAACTTCTCCATGACTAGTGTTCGCGGCTTTGGTAGCTTCATCCTGGCCTTGCTGGCAGCACTCCAAACGTTGCTCTCCCAGTTGCTCGATAGCCGAACCCCCAGCCATACAACGGAGGTCTTGATCTGAGTTGCGGAGACAACCGCGCTGGTGCCGAGCGTGAGATGGTCAGTAAGAGTCTCGATGTGAGCTACATCCCATACAAGGACCTCAGTCTTCATTGGGTCCAGTCTTAGCCCGAAAGATGCTGCCCACTCCTCCAATCGGTGGGAGATGTCGCGCAGTTCCCGTTCTGACGTGGTCGGGGCAACCAGTACTATAGCGGTATCATCAGCACCAAGAAGCATACAACACCATCTTAACATCTGTATCACTTCCGTCGAAGCGTGCAGAATCGGGAAAGTCGTTTCCGGATCAAGGCCCGACGATTTCCCCCTGAGACACTCGAGTTCGATCGGCGTAGTGACAGTAGATAAAGGCTCAGCTATAAGACAACAGCTTCGAACGTGACGTACTAAGGAAGAGTCGTCCGTTGAAGGCCACATTTGCGTAAACAACGACGACACTAAATCTTAGAAATTTCCGGCCTCACACTACACAGTGCTAGGAGCACAGAGGGATTTTGGTATTGGTGTAACAGGAGTTGAGAAAAGCGGCCTAGTCTCAGTTTGAAAATTCTAACCTCCTTATCGCGAATGGTCTCATCCTATCTTCAGACTTTTCCCGACCATCTCTACCGCGCCATAGGGGAGTAAGCTGTCACACTGTTTCTTTACACAGGAGATGCATACAGGTATCCAGTTGCTAAACAAGGCAAACAGAGTGTATCAATCTGTGGCCTGATGGACAGACTTCTAGTAGTTCTTTCCAGTTGATTCCTCTAACTGTGATGGAATCGATCGTATGTATTTATTCACTCATTCGGTCGACAGCCGAGTTCATTGACAACAAATGCACCTTCAATAACATGATGAAGCTTACACGATGTAGGGCGAATCAAGCCTTAGTCACATATGGTTGATATGACGAAGTTTGGCGAAGTAACTGTGCTACGACCACATATACATAATACTATCGAAAATAAGAAAAAAGATCACACGAAAAAGCAGGAAATCTCGTGGCGATCAAACAGACAGGTCCTCAATGACATCCTCTTTCACCCTTACATGGACCCAACCACAAAAAACGCAATCTCACAATGGATGTGCACATGGGGTGAATTTTTTAGGTGAGGATCGTCCAAATAGCAATAACCGTTATGCACAAACAATCTCACATGAGCCCCCTCTAAAATTGACGATTGCTACAACGTCATTGTGAGGAAAGGATGACGAAGTAGTTCAGAACACGTAGCCCGTCCGCATGGCTCATACTGTAAGCACGCAGATAAGAAATCACTAAGCTGAGGTGACGCGCCTTCGGGGAAGGGGACAGTCTTCGAACTCAGGATCTTATAAATAGCCATCACAGGATTCTCCAACTTGCCTGATGCACAAAAATGAGTCCGAAAATCTCATCATCAACTTCCCAGCTGCTCACCCCAAGGATGTGTGCCTGTGGCCATCTCTATAATAACTATACCAAAACTCCATATATCTGCTGATATCGAGTACCCCTTGCTATCCTGAATGAATCGACACAGTGAACGCCTCTTCACAACTGTCGAGACCCTTACCCCAGCCGAGATGACCTCAGGAGCCATCCATGGTATGGAGCCGGACAACTGTGTGACGACGACGCCTGAGGGGAAACATACAACCCGAAGAGCCCAATGGACTTACTCGAGCCAATTTGGCGACTTGAACCGAAGTCACCAAGCTTGACCGTACCATATGCATCTAGCAGTAGATTGTCGCATTTCAAATCACGGTGAGATACCTACATAAACATGATGCACAATCAATGGTGACGGTATGCGGCTTACCGATCTCTTATGAAGATATTCCAAACCCGAGAGGATCTGGTGAGAGTAACTCGCGATTTGGGGCTCTTCAAAAGCACCAAAATCGTTCAGGGCGGCTTTCACGCTTCCTCCCGACATGTACTCAGTAAACACCTAGAAACGGCAAATCAATGGAGAAACTCAAAATAATCGATTACAAGTAGTCTGCCCATACTGCATCGATGTTGTAGCAGTCTATGATGCACTGCTGAGTCCCGTGGCAGAGGATCCCACTCTACGTTGGGTGGTATGAACTCATGCCCAAGGTAGCTGCGAATGAGAACACTATAAAGCTGATGCTGCCCGACCCTGACCTTACCGTATAATGTTGGGATGCTCCAACTGTTGTAATATGTCCATCTCATTCGCCAGTTGCTTCGCAGCAACTTCGCTCGCCTTGTCCCCGTCTTCATAAGAGACGACTTTAACGGCAATGAACTCACCTGAACATAAAACTTAAAGTTCAACTCAGAGCGGAGTAACTTACCAGTGTCCTTGCATTTGGCTTTGAACACATCACCGAAACTGCCGCTTCCAATGAGGTTGCCGAAATCCACGTCTGCCGAGGCTATCGCTGAGAGAGGTAACCAATCGTACGAGCAAACCCTGAAGATCGTGACCCTTACTCTGTGGTGAAGGATGGACGTCAATGAAACATGCCGCCTGAGAAGAGGGACAACTTCGAGTGAATCGACATGAGTAACAACGACCAACCCTGCTATTGCGTCTCGGCCGACAGGCACCCTCGATGAGCGAACCCCTACAATGTAAGAGATCACAGCAAGTGATAGAGAGATGAGGGCGAGCGCTACTTCCTCGGTCGTGATAGCGACTCAGACTTCGCTGGACTCCCCGAGCCTACGGGACGTTTACCATACGCTTCACTATCAGCGACGACGACGACCTCTGACGCCTCACAAGTGTCGCCAACTTCCTCCGTGCTATCCGAATCATCCGTCACAATGAGCCGCATCTGTAGGAAGAGGTATGAACTGAGGCATAGTAGCTGTCGTACATTGCCGTTGGTCACAGAGTCCGTCAAACGCTGCATTGGACCACCCGGTATGCGTCGTCGCGGTAGTAATGCCTTCGACGAGAGGTTACCGTTCCTGCTCGTCGCGGGCGATACTGTACTCGCTGTACAAGACGAAATTAACTATGGAGGAGAACCGTGGCGCACCTGTGAAGCTCCTCGTACGACCAAGAGGAAAATATTGACTTTCATCGTCATCACCAGGTGAATCGGGAATGGACGAGGACGCGGAAAGGCACCTTGATCGATTCTGAAAGAGTCAGCGTTCAAGTATGTAAATCTCGTCAGCTGACCTCAGGAGTTACGTTCAGAAATTTTACACGCAGGATGGAAGTGTACAAAAACCATTGATAACAATTGATAGTGTTGATAACAACAATATTCATTGTTGTTGTTAACACTTGTATAGAGCAACAGAGATCGTTAGAAGAACAACATCAACAAGATGATCAACTCAAGCTGATCAACTTGAACAAACTTATCAAGAAGAAGATCAACGAAGGAGAATGCAAGAAGATCAACATCCACGATACACATGATAAGAAAGGGCTCACATATTCAGTTGATGATCTATTCCGCATACCTCCAACCCATGAACCACGTCGCTGGCCGTCTGGACCTAAACTACACTTCCCATCTCCTCCATGTTAACAACCACTCACTTATAGGGGGTTTCACGCCCAGGTACGCACATCGACTAGAGGACCCACGACGACAGCAGCTTCTGCTCGTAGTAGTAGAGCACGCCCCAGCACTGCTCACTCGCTGAGGGTGCGCTGATATGCTAGAAGCCATCACGTTAGCTACAGCATCAGCTGCGTCAAACTGAACAGGGAAAGGGAGAACCTCGGTGATTGCGGATCAATCGGAATTGTTACAAAGTCTTGTAGGGTCACACCGCGACCTGGCCCAAGGCGCTCGCCCTCTGTCACACTCTTCATCATAGATCCAACTATTTGTTGGAATGAAAAGAATACTGGAAATTCGACCTGAAGAGAGGTCGTTCATCATCATGTTAGAGACTATGGTTAACCTCCGGGCTGAAGGTTTCAGATCCAGTCGGAGATGGGATCTGACAGAAGAGTGGTATTAGTATTCTCCCTAGTAGTCGGAGCATTTACAGTCTTGTTCTTGCTCCCGCAAGACATGCGATCATTGTTTAAATCATGCAGGTGTGGAGGAGTACACCTACGACACTCTTCATCATCGAACCAATAACAGGCATCTATTCACTTTGTTGGAGAAGTTGAACTCCTCAAGACCTGGCCTGAGTAGTTACCAACATCCCCAGGGTGAGGCACTGCTGGTGGCGATATCTAATCACAAAGTATGGGAAAATGCGCACATGGTCAACCACACGTGTTGGCAACAATATGAAAATTCTGAGAAAATTTTTGGGAAACATAACTGCTTTCTGTACACTTCTACTCGAATTCGTGTGTAAATTTCTACAGCAAGTGAGGAAACTCCAGAGGCCAACAGAGGAGCACGAGCATATATACGAACCTACTTGTGCGAAGAGGAGGGAAGATCGGCGACCATCATTGATCGTTGGTGATGTCAGTCTTGGTCGTGGTCGACCACGTGTTAAGCTCAACATCTGGCAACGCATATCAATCCTAGTAAAAGTCTCTACTGGGAACTTACTGTCTCGCCGCTCTTCAACGGAGACTCAGGCCGGACCATCGTAGGTGGTCTCGACTCATCGACCGAATCTAAGGTCAACAGTAGAGGGACGGGGTAGTGGACGTACGAGCACCTCGGGAATCGAAAAGTTTAAGTAAGTCCTTCCCACTAGGGGTGTCACCAGCATTGGTCGAGGGTGTACCTGAATAGTCCGGTGAAGAGATTGTGAGCGTTTGGTGTGCTTACCAGCACTCTGTTCCACAGAATTCAGTGCATCTGAGCTTCCATTCTCAGTGGAAGTGCAAGTGGTAGTATGATCCTCGTAAAAAAGATTAGAAGATAATGATTCACAAACAGTACAAGGCTTGTTCAAGCGTGTTGTTGTATTGTTATCGGCCATCTCTAACACGTGAGTGGTCGATATCATAATCTGACACAGCGGAGATTGTTCAAGAAAAAGGTGACACAAAGTTGAGCTAGCTTACTTTTAATTTATAATCAATAGTTGTCAAGCAAAGGTCAGAGGGTGTTGCTTGTTAGTTGCTGTAACAAGAGGGGGATTCAGAACCTTCTCGGAAGGGCAAACTTCAATCACAACTTCAATCACTCCGCTAGGCCAACAGCGTCGTCCTCTGGGTGCCAATGGAAATCAAGGAGAGCTCTGGTCGATGTGAGCTCGAGCACAATATAGGCGTTAGAGGCAACAGTCTCCTTGGTGGTGTGTAAGGAAGAGGAAGTCGAGGCTGCAGTTGCCACGGACAAAGCGGAGGCTAAGAGCTAACTGTTGGTGAAGGCAATTCGAACAAGTCTCTCGAGGGAGTTCAAGTAGCTATTTCAATATCGAGCATGAACGCATGCACCACCCACGTTCAATTCGCGGCTGCGGTACCTTCAAGTAAGACTTGCGTACTCACTTTAACTCAACACTCGAATTGCAATGAGAGATGTGGTGATCAAGAAAGAGTAAGCATTAGTAGCCAGAGAGAGACATATGACTTCAGATCTCAACAACTCACATGTAACCATGGGGTGAACTCAATCCTAGGACGACATTAACGACGCTTATGGAGAAATGGATAGGATTAATCGCTGCCCGCGGAGGCCCTCAGAGGACCCCATCGCCCTACCCTTACCCAATATGATAGTTAATTAGGAAAAGACTCAGTGAGAAGGCGATACCCCGGTTACACAAATCTTGGGGAGGGGAAAATTGACCATCCCGTTACGAGACAGTGAGCATTGAAATTACCCAAGATCGAGTTCACCCAGGTTTGCGTCCTATCCGTCCCATGAAGAGCGGCAAACGCCTTATAGTGTTGAACAACAAACTCATCTGCATCGGAAACGATGGATGTAATGTAAAGCGAAGAGCAGCCTCGCAACTGATTTGAAACTGTCGACAAAAACTGTTGATCAAAAATCTAATCCACATGCTCCCTTTGCGTTGAGGAATTGCAAGATAGCAAGATTAATCTTAATCTATTGGTCTCGCAAGGAGAGATGGTATAACTCTTCATGAATCCGCCTGCTCACGGTAGGTTGGCAGAAGAGTATCAGAGACTTGATGTTCCCTGGTGAACTGGTTATCATATGTCGCCACCAAGAATCGAACGTGGATGAACTCGATGTTGGAATTTGATTCTACCAAAAAAATCTGTAGTGCGGTACTTTTCCTAGGTGGCTGTGCACGTGCTTGGGCCCTTTCCTGAGTCCAGACTCAGAGGCAACGGGACCATACTAGAAAGAGGCCAAGTCCCTGCCCTCAACTCTACCGTTCCGCCGACCAGGCTGAATAAACTTCAAGTCTTCGAACCGAGGCCTGAGTGTCACAGAGGTCAACAACCAGAGTAGAGTAGGAGGATCACAGACCTTTTTGAGGCGCACGAGAGGAGTAGAAACTCGGGGCATGGTCTTACTAAATACAACAAGTTAGCGTAGATGACGATGTGGTGAAGTCATTAACAGACCAGTTCATCAGTTGCCTGATATCGCCCCAATTCTTCGCATATCCTATGTAGTGCGTACGAAACCGTGACGACACAACTGCACTCGCTCGCCTGAGGTTCGCGCCGACAAAGTTTGTGGATTTTCACGCTCTTCCTCCTCGTAAGGTTGATGGGCGTTTCACTTGTGACTCATATAATCTTCCATGCCTAACATGTATAGTTCTGTTTCCAAAAACTCGCCTCTCCTGAACGGTTCTCACCCATGACGAGTTACGTCATATGGTCATCATTCCCCTCTTCAGCTCGATTCAATAGTCCCCTCCTCTCCGATATGTCAATCCCCCCAAAGGTCGCTACTGAGGTCCGTGATGTTCATAGGATCGAGAGAATTGGTGCCCATAGTCACATACGAGGACTTGGTCTTGATGACGCTTTGGATGCTCGGAAGATTTCTCAAGGTAATTATGGTAAACTACATGAGTTTCCAATGGGGAAATTTTTTTTCATGGAAATTCTTTTTTTCGTTCTGTTTTAATTTTACGAGCTCCAAACTAACACTTAGCAGGTTATTGCATATGCATTTCGGTCGTAAGCAATTTTTTCAACTAGTCTCGCCTTTTCTATGTGAAATGGCACAATACTCCGATAACACAATTATTTTTCGTGAAGTGGGTTGTGAAATATGTTTCTCACTAGTGTTTTTTCATATCACCGATGAAATTCCACAACTATGATGCTCGTGTGTTAGGCATGGTCGGACAGAGAGGAGCTCGTAAGGCAGCGGGAATCATATTGAAGATGATCCAAGAAGGGAAGATCGCCGGAAGGGCTATACTCATAGCTGGCCAACCTGGTGAGGTTCTTGACTGGTTTGTACGATACCGAAGATATCCATATTACAATTGCAGTTTTATGTGAGGTGGCGTGATACTCGGTGAAAAACGCGATATTTGCGGTATGCAGTAGTCGTGGAATGTATTTTTCACTAGTGTTTTTCATATCACTAGGGTAAAACTACGTTAAACTATTTCAACTCATTGGATGCAACGTTGAGCGAATGATAGAATGAAAGATATGAATAACGCACACAGAAGATACCACTGGGCAATGGGTTACTACTATATAGATATCATCAGTATCATACAGTTATATGAAGAAAGAACACTAGTGAAAAGCGTATTTCACATAGCACTTCGCGAAAAACGTATGAGAATAATGCGTAAAACACGTAAAGTGTTTTACACGCGAAATGACGGTGCTATGGTCATGAATTGATTGAGGTTGCTATCGAATCGCCGAATTCTGCAAGTATATTAGTTATTGGTAGACTTAATACATGCCTCATATGACGTTTCGTTGTGTCGGGTAGATGAACACATTGGTTTCTTCGCACGGAGATTCGAACGTGCGTAATTCATTATATCATAGAATCGTAAAATGGTATCAAAATTATCACCAGAAAAGGTATTCATATTTTTCCGAACTTGATTACTATTAATAACTCATCGCTTCTTTGGTAGAGTTGTCGTAGCACGATCTGACTTACTAACGAAAAACGAAGTTTCCTCCGTTTTCCGTGAAAAACCTGATATTCGTGTTATACAGTAGTCGTGGAATGTATTCTTCACAAGTATTTTTTTGCGTATCACTAGGGTTAAACTCCAGTGATCGGCTAGGGCATGTCATTCAGGTACGGGAAAAACGGCACTTGCGATGGCTTTGGCGAAGGCGCTCGGCGAAGACACTCCCTTTACTATGTTGGCTGGAAGTGAAATATTCTCACTAGAGATGAGCAAGACTGAGGCTCTCACTCAAGTTGGTTTTGTTGTTTTTACGGTATGTGTAAGGGGATTTTCCCCTCAGGCGTTTCGGAAGTCGATTGGCGTTAGAATTCGCGAGGAAGCGGAGATTATTGAGGGTATCTTTTTTGGAAGGTTGGACGGATGAAAAGATATTTTATTTAGGCGAAGTTGTCGAGATAGAAATTGAGAAATCGAGTGATGGTGGCCTTGCTAAGTGGGGAAAGATGGTAGTAGTTGGTGAAATATTCGTCATTGCATTTTCTTGTAAACTGCAAGAAAATTCTCCACTTTTACTCGTTGTATGAGAGGGAAACTTGTGGGTTTATTCAGCTGAGATTATGTCTACTTCCACTTCTGGAATATCTATAATTTCCGTATTTATTTGTAAATAAATTTTGTTTTCTGGTTGATATTGGAGGAGCAATGATGTTTCTCCATTTCTACTTATGTAGTGTTGGTGATCTGCTGCACACCTTGCATTGGAGTTCACCCGTCTTACGTGAAGTGGCGTAATACTCTGTGAAAAAAAGCGATATTCGCGCTATGCAGTAGTCTTGAAAAGTTTTCATATCACGGGTGAAACTCCATTGTATGTAATTACGTGTTTGATTTTCAGGTCCTGAAAACCACAGAAATGGAAACTATCTATGACCTTGGGCAGAAGATGATCGAGACGATTCAGAAGGATAAGATCACTGCAGGTATGTGGTATTTTGCAATGTCTTCATAAACGACTTGGAATATTTTAATATGAGTGAGTGAGTAACAAATTTCATGTTGATATTGCATATGAAATTCAGATTGCGATTCATTTATGAATATGTATAGATGATACCTTGTTGTAGGGGTGGTACTGTAATCTTCCAAAAAATGTGGGACAGTGAATTCGGGGGTTGATTTCATATTTTTCGTACGGATTTGCTACTCGCGACATGGAAGAATTGTTTACTAGTGGACTACCGTGTACTGCATAAATGAAAACGAATCGATGGTGAATGTGTTATACTAGGGGGCGTATTTTCCTATTGGGTACCTGAGTAGTAGTCCAGGGTGAAATTCCAACGAAATTCGAAATTTTCAAGTTAAGTGAAATAGTAGCATTTAAAAGCGTTATTTTTATATAATGGAGTTTCATCTGCTATACGTGAAGTGGCGCGAAACTAGATTTTCGCGACGTGAAGTGGTTTGTGAAATATGTTTTTCACTAGTGTTTTTCATATCGCGGGTGGAACTCCGATGTAGTATATCTGGGCGAAAACTTGTTGAGTGTCGAGTAACAATGGCCCTAGAGTGAATTTCCGAAGAGTAAACTATGATATATTTATGGACACTTTGTGTAACTGTTTTACGTTTTTCACTAGTGTTTTTCATGTAACTATTTTATGTGATAGGGTAGTTCATATCACTATCACTAATTGTGAATACATTGTGTGTGTAATTGTTCAGGTGATGTTATCAGTATCGACAAGTCTACAGGGAGGATCACCGTATTGGGTAGGAGTTTCGCTAGGTCGAGAGATTACGATGCAATGGGGCCACAAACGAGGTAATATGAGATTGTTGCAGCGCTGAAGTTTCACCCGTTTTACGTGAAGTGGCGTGAAATTTGGTGGAGAATAGATACTCGCGGTATGCAAACTTCCATCGAGAAGGATCTCTTCGTTTCTGTGTTGGCGTCGATGTATGTGATCGATTCGTGTTCAGATTTGTGCAGTGTCCAGAGGGGGAGCTGCAGAAGAGAAAGGAAGTAGTCCATACGGTGAATCTGCATGAGGTGGATGTTATCAATTCTCGTACACAAGGATTTCTAGCCTTATTCGCCGGCGATACTGGTGAGCACGGAGGGGAACATATACTGCGATGGTGCACATTTACTGTTTGTTGGAGTTATTTATTCGCGAGTACACCTGTTGAGCTTCCAAGATTTGCAAGAGAGTCGTTTATGTATTCCGCGGAAAATGGGAAAATTATAATCATCTTGGATCGAGTATTGGCGGAAATTGTTCTGGACTGACTGTTAGTAGCGGGAAAAAAGCCCGAAAAAAGTCTGTGCCGGGAATCGAACCTGTAGCCATTACGAACAATCGGAGTTTCGTTCAGATGTGAGATTATCGAAGATTTTTATTCTCTTGAAAGATGCGATTTTATAAATGCAATTTGTGGGACTTTTGGTGACATTTGACAGTTTTCGTCGTGAATGTTGTATTATACTTGTAGTGATTTCAAGAAATGGAGGTATTGTCATTGACGAAGACCTTTGGTTCAGGCGAGATTAAGTCGGAAGTTCGAGAGCAGATCGATGCTAAAGTGGGGGAATGGAAGGAGGAGGGCAAGGCTGACGTTATTCCTGGCGTATTGTTCATCGATGAGGTAAGGATAGTTTATAGGGAGTGTGGACACTGAGGCTCATTAGGTTCACATGTTGGACATAGAGTGTTTCTCCTTCCTCAATAGAGCGCTGGAGCAGGAGACATCTCCAGTGGTGATAATGGCGACTAATAGAGGAATTACTAATATAAGGTGGTGTATTCGAATCTGGGTGGGAAAGCTGATTCGTCTCCTCCTTCTGGGCGTGGGTCGGTGATTGTATCTACCAGCGATTGCTCGAGTTCATTTTGCTTTGCTGTTTTTGTCGAATGAGTGTAATAGTGCATCCCTCTTGGTTCGGTTGGTAGTGATTTTGAACTGGTTGAGGTTGATGGAATTTCAGATGGTAGTTGCGTACCATCATTACGATTGTTAGGGGAACTGATTACAAGTCGCCGCATGGCATTCCTCTGGATCTGTTGGATAGGATGCTCATTATATCGACAGTGCCGTACACGGAGAAGGTAAGGGGGGAGATGGGAGGAGGACTAAGCTGTTATTGATTGATCTGTTGAGGAGGGCTTAGCGCCAGTGTGGTAATATATGTTTGGTTTGCTCAACTGAGCTTGAAAATTTACACATGATTTTGGGTAGAAGTGTACAAAAACCATGGATTACTTCCCCGAGTTTTCATATTTTTACTAGCACCTGTAGTTGACCATGTGCATATATTCCCACCCTGCTTAGCGCTCCTTGTTGGATGCTTTTCGAGATCTCGAAAGGTGTTGCTGATGCGGGAGAGTTATGGTATGAAAAGGTTGCTTGTGTCAGGAAATAAGGCAGATTGTCGATATAAGGAGCGAGGAAGAGGATGTTGAGATTTCGGAGGAGGCGAAGGACTTGCTGACTAAGATAGGAATGGATACAAGCTTGCGGTAGTAGGGGTTGGGCTGGATCTGCGGTTTGTTATTTGTGGAATTTTCGGGGTATGTATTTTGGACATTGGAAAGAGAATTTGGATAAATATTGTTGACGATGCTAGAGAATGAAGCTCTCTCTATTTCCATTGGGAAAATGTAGTAATTGGAATTCATCGGAAGCGTTTCAGTGATCTTGGTTAGAGTCAGTGATCGTATGTAACGAGGGCCGTTTTGGAAATGTCGCGCGCCATGAAAATGAGGTGTTCGTTTTTGTTGTCAGCTACTGTCTTCATTTGATTACCACAGCTAATCTGGCAGCTCAGAAGAGGCATTCATCCGAAGTGGAGGTTCAGGACGTCAGGAGGGTTTATTCGCTCTTTGTTGATGTTAAACGCTCAACACAGTTCTTGATAGAGTAATAGGGAGGGGATGGGGAAAATTGGCATTGAGTTACGGAACATTGGAGATATGAAACCCGTGATATGAAAAATACTAGTGAATTACAAATTCCACGACTACTGCATCCCGCGAATATCGGGGGTTCTCACCGAGTTTTATGCCACTTCACGTAAAACGGGTGAAACTCCATTGTATGTTTGGGCGCGGTTGAAATCGATCACGCGATCGATTGTGATTGTTGAATAATTATATCATTCAGCTACCAGCAAGAGTTCATGTTTAACGAGCTGGAGGGAGAGGAAACGAGCGGTGAGAGTGAAGAGAAGAATCAAGGTGATGTTAAGATGCAGGAGTAGAAGAGATAGTCTTGAAATCGATCACGTGATCGATTTACGTCGATAGATATATTAGTATTGCTCTCGAAGACTGTGGGTATTCGAGACATCGTGGAACGTGTTATTTCGTATACGGTGCTGTTTGTTGTGTTGAGAGCTCGAGAAATTGCAGGGTTGGGGACAATTTCTAATTTGGGTATTTTTTGTCTTCGTAATGACTCACGGCGGTCATCGCCACGGTTCGTCGGGGAGTATCAGAACTAATGGGAAGACGTCAGTGAGCTCACCTAGGAAGAGAAGTTCTACTGGGGGGTCATGCGATGATGTAATAAAGGAGTGGTAGGGGAAATAACAGGGGTGCTGCGGTCGATGCGATTCGAGAGGGAGTTATTAAATTGGAATTGGAGACGATTGATTGAGATGGAGGGTCATCGAAGTTCGCGATTTTTAGCGAGGTCTTGAAGCTCCTATGGGGTTTTATACAATAATCGTCGAGGGTGCTACTGCGGACTGTTTCCGACTGCAATGTGACTTTTCGGATTTGTGGCCTTCTTTGTGTTGGGACGTATTGTGAGTAGAAGAAAGCCTTTATTTGCGCGAGGAGCGGTTACTGCTCTCATTCGAATATTTGAGATTCTCTTGGAATCGCTGTAGAGAGCTAGTCACTTTGCTGTGACCGCCCGGCAGCAGCAGCCTCTGATGTATAAAGTTGAATTTCGAACTCTGGAAATGACGGTGAATGCCGGAAATGTTCCCATTGAGTTTCACCATCTTCAATTTCCGCATATAGGGGGTTTGTCTATTGACTTGTATCAGCTCGCGCGAAAAGTTGCTGGAGGGATGAACGAGAATTTGATGATGCCGAGTGTAGGATGTGAGGGTAAAAAGGTCTCTTCTGGAAGTGATGGTAATACTTGATGTGTGGAATCGAAGTGGTAGCTTGGCGCAGGTCTGGCTGGAAGGGTATGCAACAATTTGGTGGAGGTAGAGAGGGGAGTGGTATGGAAAAATTATGCATTTTTTGTAGGGCCCCAAGGTGATATGCAGCGCTAAGGCGGAAGAGTGGACGGAACCTCCGCTTTCTGAGGAGGAGAAGGAGGTGACTGGGGGCGGCGCCGTCGGTTTTGGTTCCCATTGAGATTGGGAATAGTACATTTCTATAGATAGTTTCCTTGAATGTAATGATGATTTTTCAATTCACACGTAAGGAGTGATAGGTCGTGCTTGGTCTCGTGTTGCTATTGACAGGCTTGAGACAGTCATCAACTCGACGATGATGACAGTGGTTGTCGAGGTCGTTGATTTGATCAGGTTTTTGCCGAAATTGTGAAGGGTGTTGGCAGCGATGCGCTGATGTTGGAAGATATGTGTATGTTGAGATTCATCCGGGGGTATTCTCATGAGAAGGAGAGAGTTCCCGCCACCATCGCGTGAGAAGGCCATTTTGTAGACGCATTTGGAGGTTGGTTGTGATGTAGGTATCTTCGGGGTATGTTGAGATGGCGCAAGGCGGAAGGAGCTGATAAAAAAATGGAGATGCTTATGAATACTCCCATCAGAGACATTCCACGATGTCCCCTAGTAGATCCTGAATGCATGAAACCATTAGAATGGTGGGTATAGGGCGTTAAGGAAAAGCATAGGTCCATGGGTCTGGCAGGTACTTCTATGGAATGTCGAAGTTTGGCACCCCGGTGGTGTACATGAAAATTCCTAGTGCTTCGACTTATACGAAGCTAGGTCTGGACAGATGTAGTTTGGACCTATTCTGTATCTTGCACGATTGAACCTTGGATATGTTTAGGCATGGGGCAGCATGTAGTGGAAATGGAAATAATTGAACGCGTGAAGATGCAGCTGAGATACTCAGGATGGAGGGGCTACAAGCACATGATGGTGCGAGGTGCAGGGATCGAACCCGGGTGTCACTATCGCTGATTCGGGTATTCATCGTTATTATTGCTGCACAAAATGTGACCAGTGTTGAGCGGTTTGGTCAGGCGAGGAGTTGAGGGAGTGTATTAGGTCGCTGAATGTTCCATGGTGGAATCTTGAGGTCCACATGGCATGTTATGATGAGTCAGGTTATCGATATGAAGAATGTAGGATTAGGTCACGGAAAGAGTAGCTTCATCACTGGCTTCAAGAAGCAGTTGAATATTGATCAGTGAGTCGGAAGGTCTGGGGTAAGGTGTGGCTCTAAAAATACAATGGAATTTCACCCGTTTTACGTCGAAGTGGCGTAAAACTCGGTGAAAAACGCGATATTCGCGGTATGCAGTAGTCGCAAAATATGTTTCCCATATCACGGGTGAAACTCCTATATATACTAAGGCGTTGGATCGTTTGATCAGATACTACTACCCCGAGGTGCTGAGTAAGATGGTCGTAGTGAACGCTGGTGTGGTAATCAGTACGTTATGGAAAATGGCTAAGCCGTGGGTCGACCCCATCACCGTTGGTAGCCGCCATCACATCGCTCCGTCTGATTTTATGCAATTTTCCCATCGTTTGCAGATCGGATTAAGATTAGTAGCTCGTCGCATCCGGTTAAGGCCATTTCGGAGTTTGTGGACCCCAAGTTCATTCCGAAAGTAACAAAAATTTAAGAAGAAATCTGAAAATCTTGTGGATATCCTTTCAGGAGTATGGTGGTGATGGAGAGCTCGAGCCTGTTATATGGGGACAAAGATATCTCCAATGTGACGAAGACATCCCCCTGCCTAAGCTGCACTTGGTAAACGTCACGCGCCACGAAATTGACCCGTGTATAATCTTATTCACCTGCTCAGGTTAGCGATGGTGACATTTGGCCGGCAGCTCCCCCAGAGGAGGAATGGAACTTGTTACCGGAGATGCCCGTGAGGCATCAATCGTCGAAGTAGATTGCTAGAACAATGCTGTTAAGATAGTGGACGATCTGATAGCGCCTTATGCAATGAATACGGAATTCCGCCACCCTTTCAAGTTAAACTACTGAGTTCATCACGAAGCTTCTGAGAATGGTGTGGTATTGTGTTTAGAGAAATATTTCGAAACTTATTGTCGTTGTAGTTGTTGGTGAGTGGGATGAGAACTTCTTATTCTTGGCATCGTTGAGATGTGAATTCGGCGATTACTGGTGGACTTTTACAAGGAGCCTCTCACGGGTTCGGTTTGTTATCACATTGATAACGCAGATAGTGATAATATCGCTTTGTTCGAGAAGCTTATTCACATGGACATCTCTGATATCGTCCCTAGCGCATAAGTCCAGTAAACTGTGCCTCTCCTTATCTAGAGAAATGTGGAAAAATCGCATTGCTAGTGATTGTATTGTCTGATCTTGAGTAGCTTTCTGTTGCTCTTCGGCGATCGACGACTCTTGAACTAGTGTAAACGATGTGCTGTGTATTTTCAATATCAATTATGTTTCGTTATGATGGGAAAACTGGATGGAAGAGATTCTGATTGCAGCTCTTGATCGTATGGGAAACAGAGAGGGTTCAAGCCACAGGGAATGGACAATCCGCTCCTGCTGGGACGCAGTGAACAGTCCGAGCCTTCGGGTCCGTCAATCGAAGATCGCATCGCTGAAAGGTATGCCGGTTTTGTGGCAATATTTGTGTCCATGTCCGTGTTTTCATAAACATCATTTCGCTCTGTTTTGAGAGGGTGTGTAATGTTATTTATGCCTCAGGCAGAAGACTGGTCTCACTTGGGAAGAATTTAAAGCTCAACTTGCTTCCACTGAGTCGAGAAGTAAGACGGTTAAATGGGATGCTTCTGCAGCATTTTGGGGTCTTTCCGCGAGGCGCTAGATACTTAGAAAGATTTGAAAATGAAGAGTATCGGAAAAACCTGGACGCCGATCGAGACCACCGGAGAGCAGCTCAAGAGAAACGAGACTTGGAAGCTCTACGCCGAGCTAGGAGGATTCGGGAATCACGTAAGTGCTGTCGACTTTCAAAAGAATAACTCAGTTATAGGGAAATATCCACTTGGTCAACTGCATGCAATTTCTGGCAAATTCTTATTGACATTTCTTGTGGGAGTTACCGTTATTCGCGAGTGAACTTCAAAACAAACCAAATATATGTTAAAACGCAGGACGAAGTTTTCTATGTGATAGGGAAGAAGCGTAGTTTGTCTGCATCCAGCGATAGCGGTGATGATCGACGGGAGAGGGAGAAGAGGAAGAAATCGAAGCGATCGTCATCGAGAACTGATCGGAAGTAAGTGACTACTTTTGCTGGAAAGGATGGTCATTCATGATCTGATTAGGTCTAAGAGTTCCCGTCGAAGTCGTTCCTTGAGCGATGAGGCTTCAAGGAGCAGAAAGAAAAAAGCCAAAAAAGAGAAGAAGAATAAGAAAACAAATATGTATAGTTTATCTCAGTATTTTAGCAGTCGTGACAGTGATAGCGACTGACCGCAAACCGTCCAATGTGATTTTATTCCATTTGCGTTGTTGAATCAATTCGTCCCAGAGGAGCGCGGGTAGCTGTGGCCCGTGCTCATTGGCATCCGCTTGACAATTCTTCCTTTGGTTCAATGTTGACAGTTCTCGATATCATACAAGGATCTAGTATGGGGAAATATACACATGAACAACTTCACATGGAAGTATGGAGAAATCTTGGGTAGATTATCGTTGGTTTCCGCACACTGTTATCCTAAATCGTGTCGAAATTGTCGTGAGGAAAATCTTGAGCTCAGTTGAGGAAGTCAGATATGTATTGCAACATTGCAAGAACCTGCCTCCAGGGTCCCGGGAACTAGACGGAATCCACAATACTGTAAAATATAGTGACACTTCCAAAACTTCTTGTAAGAACTGTGTTAATGGTTCTTCATGCACTCGGTACCGGTCTCGCTATCTTGCGGAGTGTCCTCGCCACTGATTGGATACCGGAGCTCACCCGAGCCATCCAATGCGTGAACTCAGCCGGAAAGTTCCTCGGTAGGGGTGCAGGGTGAGTGGAGAAGTTCTGTTGGACGACTCGCTCTTGCAATATTAGCGAGAGCGAGTTTTAACCTCTCATCTGGTCGATAGAAGCTTCCCTGACAGTACATTCGCGACGTTAACATTATATACTTCTACTGCGGATGTAACGATCCTCCTTGGTTTCATTAGCTTCAACGATGGAGAAACTTATATTGCGTTGCTAAGCGACTGCGCGAATAATCCTAACTATTGCGCGAGTGGCATCCCTAGTCGGAAAGATCTATCTCAACCCGCATCGTTTAGATTTCTGGGCGGACACTCCATCGTCGGAACTCCCACCGTGTGTGGATGACTGTGCTGATGGGCCTGGGAAAGCTACCGTGTGGGTTTGGCCAGCTGGATGCCGTCTAGTAGTCGAATGCGCAACTCAGGTTGAATGCTTTCTGCAGTCGAGCGAACGATTATGTGAGAGAAGTCAAGATAGGGTTTACACTCCATTGGTAGGTCTGTCTTGGACCGCGAAATTGAAAACTTTTCACATTTCCACTGAACGGTTCTGAAGCCCATAGTTATTCACCTATACACAACAGCAATAACTGGGATTTGCGGTGTCCGCATGCGCTTGCCGCTCAGGACTTGCCCTCGTATCGGCGACTCATCGATAAATGGTTGTGAGTGGACGCCGACTCCCCGAGTTGAGGACGGAACCATTTCTGTAAGGTGAGCCCAGACGTAGTCGAACTCAGATGGGGAGACGAGCTCGCCGTAGGCGTTCCAATATCGAGATGTCGCCGGTATGAAAATTAGTCAACTACTGAAAGTGCCCCCAACCAACGTTCATTGTATCTTCATGTGAGAACATACCGGTCACAGATGATCAGCAAGCAACTGTAAGGTACTGGTCAACAGACCAGTACGATTGGGAGCTTGAGTACTTTACTCTCCTCCGCTACGATGAATCTACTGGGAGAGTCCTCCGACGAGAGCCTCAAAGGCATCGGCACCTACAGCCCATCGATGAGTCATACGAATGGTGAGGCGTGAAGTCGGAGGCAGTCCCTCGGTCGTCCAGATAGGTACCTGTCTTGTCGTGTCGACACCCAAAGGCTACTCTCGACCACTTCCGGGGTTGAGACCTTCTCTACGAAGGACGAAATGGCCCTCTCGACTGCATTTGGGAGGGATGTGCAGTTTTTCGGTGATGTCATAATTTCCAGTGAGGATTCTACTGTGTGCAATCCACAGCTCTGCCTAAGGTCCATCAGAACCTGCCAACAGTGACACGCTCGATGATGAGGACTATCAGGCTCAGTATTCCGCGAGATAACTCGAGCCCTAACGCGACCGCATCGAATAGGTTCAAGTTCACCTGCTGCTATCCGAATTCACTGTCTCCCATCACAACAACACAAGCCCCTCCAAGCTCACCTGCTTCCTCGACAGTTCCCAGTGGGAGATTTGAGAGCCTCGCGTGCCGCGAATGCTGACCGTTCAGTAACCAGTACAACGACCACTCGCTCCATTGAGACTACATCGATAACGCCGCCTTCAACGCAGACAACTCTTCTCACTTTTCCGTCACCGACTTCTACCACGACTGGTAAAAGAGTACTCGCATGTCTAGTCTATGAGGCGTATGCTCAGTCACGTCTCCGTTGGCCCTTCCGGAAAAGTCGTCATTCCCGATATTCGCTATCGTGGTCACGATGTCTGTTGCTGTTGCTGCTGTTATCGGCGCGATCATTCTTATTCGCCGTTCAAACAAGTGAGATTTCACATTTCACATCGATTACAACACTGCGCAGTTTCGAACCAGTGTAAAAGATAGTGTGATTTGATATTGTGATTGTTGATATGGTCTCTGAAGTTTCAGCTGACCTACTACTGTATTTAAAACACTTCTCTGGATCGCGACGATCTTCACTAGCCGTGGGTTAGATATAGAGTAACTCCTGACGTACCAGCATCGGCAACGGGGGGAGCGGCAGGAGACGACCGCCGACTTGGGTCACAACCTTCTGATTCATCACTCAATCACGATGAAGATTACCGAGAGCGAGTTGTAAGCGCTTCTGGCTTACCCTAGTCTCACAGATTGACCATTCGAGTTCAATCTTATTTGAGGTGTACGTCCAATTGTCAGCGTGTTGTAAGAGAGGCACTGAATCCCTTCAACCGATTCGCGAAGCAACGTGAAGAACAACAGAAGGCTCAGACAAGGCGACTTGAGAAGGCCAGGAAGGAGAGGGAAGAACGAGAGAGAGAAAAGCGGCGATGGGAGAGGGAAGAACAAGAAAAAGAAAAGCGACGAAGGGAGAGGGAGGAAGAGGAACGTGAATACCAGAGGGTATTCGCTTCGGAATTCTGCGTCATTACATAGCATGCTATCCAGTAGCAATCAGTCAGTACATCATTCGAGAATATCATGCATGACGCTATTCGATGATAGATCGGATCACGAAAGCAGACATTATTCGTTTTCAGGCCAGAGAGGCTCCAGAGGCCGCTCAAAAAGTAAGCACCGGGGACTAGTCTCGCCCCCTGAGGAGTTTCGTGTTATCTTGGTGCCCATCCGTACTTGAAACTTCAGGGAAGTCAGTCGAAGCACGCGGGGAGCAGTGGTGAGAAGTCAACTTCGGCCCTCCCAGAGCAACCGAGCACGGACTACTCGAATGAGCTTCCCGCCGTTCGAGAACTACGGTTGGAGCTCGAAGACTCCAGGGCTAATGAGGCGCAGAAGAAGCGAAAGCAGCGGTAGGGGTTCTGGATCGATTTCATATTAGTGACCCGTCAATTGTCCCTAGCAGGTTCAAGAGATTGCAGTTGAGGTGGCATCCAGACAAGAACAAGAGCGACGAAGCCACCGTCGTATTCCAGTTCCTGCAGAGCAAGAAAAGTTGGTATCTGGAAAAATGAACCTCCGTGATTTACGCGTACATTAGAGCAATTGTCTCATCCTTTGATGTGTTGAGTTTCTCATTGAGATCTCGGGATCTCGTAAAATCCTGTGAAGTGAAATTCTTCTCCCCGTTGCTACGATTCTCTATGCCGCTGACCGGCAGTATTCTTGTGGACCACACAGAAGCATCCGGAAGCTCATCCATGGTCTCTAACCTTCGAGTTTTTCTAATAAATTTAATAAACTTTGAATAGGGTGTATATCGTCTGGTATCAACTAACAATACAGCTAGCGGACCTCTCAAGAAGACACACTCAGCAGTCCATGCAATGGATGTTTTAGACCCTCGGGACTACACCTTTTCCCGTGCAAGTTTGACAAGTGAGCAGACAAGAATGACAATGTTACCATCAAGAGTGACAATGAGAATCCAAGTTTGTCACAATTCAATTCTGTTACAATCAAGTTTAACTTTGAGAATTCAAGTATGTCACAATCGAGATATGTTACCATCAAGATTGACAATGAAAATCCAAGTTTGTCAAAGTTCAATTATGTTACCATCAAGATTGACAATGAAAATCCAAGTTTGTCAAAGTTCAACTATGTTACAATCAAGATTGACAGTGAGAATCCATGTTTGACACTTGTTTCCTCAGTTACAACCAAGTTTGACAGTGAGAATTCATGTTTGACACCGCCAGAATATATCACAATCAAGAATGACAATAAACCACACAAGTTTGACAATACGCACACAAGTTTGACAATACGCATCCAAGTTTGACACTTCAAAGAGAGTGCTTCAATGTGAGTCGTACACTCATAAGGGGTCCTTA